TAGGCCTTACAAATAGCTGTGAAACAGAGAAGTGAAAAACAAAGGAGAAAAGGAAAGATATACCCATTTGACTATAGAATTCCAAAGAATATCAAGGAGAGATAAGAAAGCCTTCCTCAGTGATCAGTGCAAAGAAATAGAGGAAAACAATAGAATGGGAAAGACTGGAGGTCTCTTCAAGAAAATTAGAGATAGCAAGGGAACATTTCATGCAAAGATGGGCTCAATAAAGGACAGAAATGGTATGGACCTAACAGAAGCAGAAGGTATTAAGAAGAGGTGGCAAGAATACACAGAAGCACTATACACAAAAGATCTTCACGACTCAGATAATCACGATGGTATGATCACTCACCTAGAACCAGATATCCTAGAATGCGAAGTCAAGTGGGCCATAGGAAGCATTACTACGAACAAAGCTAGTGGAGGTGATGGAAATCCAGCTGAATTTCAAATCCTAAAAGATGATGCTGTGAACATGCTGCATTGAACATGCCAGCAAATTTGGGAAACTCAGCAGTGGCCACAGGACTGGAAAAGGTCAATTTTCAATCCAATCCCAAAGAAAGGCAATGCTGAAGAATGCTCAAACTACCGCACAATTGCACTCATCTCACACGCTAGTAAAATAATGCTCAAAATTCTCCAAGCCAGTCTTCAACAGTACGTGAACCATGAACTTCCAGATGTTCAAGCTGGTTTTAGAAAAGGCAGAGGAACCAGAGATCAAATTGCCAACAAACACTGGATCATCAAAAAAGCAAGAGAGTTCCAGAAAAACATCTGCTTTATTGACTATGCCAAAGCCTTTGACTGTGTGGATCACAATAAACTGTGGAAAATTCTTAAAGAGATGGGAATACCAGACCACCTGCCCTGCCTCTTGAGAAACCTGTGTGGTTAGGAAGCAACAGTTAGAACTGGACATGGAACAACAGACTGGTTCCAAATAGGAAAAGGAGTATGTCAAGGCTGTATATTGTCACCCTTATTTAACTTATATGCATCATGAAAAACGCTGGGTTGGAAGAAGCACAAGCTGGAGTCGAGATTGCCAGGAGAAATATCAATAACCTCAGATATGCAGAGGACACCACCCGTATGGCAGAAAGTGAAGAAGGACTAAAGAGCTCCTTGAAAGTGAAAGAAAAGGGTGAAAAAGTTGGCTTAAAGCTCAACATTCAGGAAACTAAGATCATGGCATCCGGTCCCATCACTTCATGGCATATAGATGGGGAAACAGTGGAAACAGTGGCTGACTTTTATTTTTTTTGGGCTCCAAAATCACTGCAGATGGTGACTGCCACCATGAAATTAAAAGATGCTTACTCCTTGGAAGGAAAGTTATGACCAACCTAGATAGCATATTAAAAAGCAGAGAGATTACTTTGTCAACAAAGGTCCGTCTAGTCAAGGCTATGGTTTTTCCAGTAGTCATGTATGCATGTGAGATTTGGACTATAAAGAAAGCTGAGCACCAGAGAATTGATGTTTTTGAACTGTGGTGTTAGAGAAAACTCTTGAGAGTCCCTTGGACTGCAAGGAGATCCAACCAGTTCATCCTAAAGGAGATCAGTCCTGGATGTTTATTGGAAGGACTGATGTTGAAGCTGAAACTCCAGTACTTCGGCCTGATGCAAAGAGCGGACTCATCTGAAAAGACCCTGATGCTGGGAAAGATTGAGGGCAGGAGGAGAAGGGCACAACAGAGGATAAGATGGTTGGATGGCATCACTGACTCAATGGACATGAGTTTGAGTAAACTCGGGAGTTGGTGATGGACAGGGAGGCCTGGTGTGCTGCAGTTCATGGGGTTGCAAAGAGTCAGACATGACTGAGCTACTGACCTGAAGTGTCACATGAAAATGTAAATTGTGGGAGTGGATCTAGTAAGATCTTTGTAACCTTGAGACATTCTTTTGATTTACTGTTATAACCAAATAAAAAATATATAGCTCCCTTGCTAAGACTAGCAAGTGGGGTGCTGTCCATTCCCCTTGTGATGTCTATGTTAGAAGCTTTCTCTCTCCCCTCTTATACTTTAATAAAACTGTGCTACACAAAAGCTTTGAGTTATCAAGCCTGGTCCCTGGTCCTGAAGCTAAATCTTCTTCAGAGATCCTGCCAATGCAGGAGAAACTGGTTTGATCCCTGCTCTGGGAAGAACACACATGCTGCAGAGCAACTAAATTTGTGTGAAGCAACACTAAGCCTGAGCTCTAGAGTGCACTTGCTGCAACTACGGAAGCTTAAGTGACTAGAGCCTGTGCTCTGCAACAAGAGTAGCTGAGCACTGTATCAGAGCAGCCCCCACTCATCACAACTAGAGAAAAGCCTGCATGCAGCAACAACGACCCACCACGGCCAAAACCTTAAACAAATAAATCTTTTAACAGATAGATTGTTCACATTTAAGCATTTAAAGACATTATTGATATAGTTGGATTAATTTCTACCATCCTTATAGCTGTTCCCTATTCCTGCCTTTGTTCTTTTTTGTGTTCTACTTTTTCTTCATTTTCTGATTTTATCTTTTTTTGCAGGGTGGGGTTGGGGCTGCATTGCAAGTCTTGTGGGATCTTAATTCCTGGACCAGGAATAGAACCCAGGCTCTTGTCAGTGAAAGTGCAGAGTCCTTAGTCACTGGACCACTGGGGAATTCTCCTTTATCTTTTTTTGTTTTTTTGGCTGTGCTGGGTCTTTGTTGCTGCTTAGGCTTTCTCTAGTTGTGGTGTGTGGTCTCATTGCCATGACTTCTCTTCTTGTGGAGCATGGGCTCAAGGGTGCATGGGCTTCTGTAGTAGCGGCTCGTGGACTCCTGAGCACAGACTCAATAGTTGAGGCACACTGGCTTAGCTGCTCCACGGCATGTGAGATGTTCCCAGACCAGAGATCGAGCTCGTGTCTCCTGCATTGGCTGGCGGATTCTTTACTACTGAGCCACCAGGGAAGCCCCCTTTTCTGGTGTAATTGAGCATTTTATATGGTTTCATCTCCCCTCCCTTAGGACATCAATCATATTTATTAAAATTTATTTTACCGGTTGCCCTAGAGTTTGCAGTATACATCTACAATTAATATAACCCTACTTTCAAACAATGCTGTACTGCTTCATGATTTTCAGCTTGTTCAGCTTTTGTCTTGTGGGGACAGGAGTGATGACTTCCAATCTCTGTATATGTCACAGACCAGAAACTTGAAGTATGGGTATTACTTTTATTTATTTTCTTGTCTATTTATTCAACAAACATTTGGGTGCTTATTATATATCAGACACTGTTCTAGGTACTGGAGATACAGCAGTGAAAAAAGAGAAATAATGTCTGTCTTCATGAAGCTTATATACTAGGGTGGAAAGACAGATGATAAATAAAAGATAAGATGTCAGATGGTAAAAGATGGAGAGGGGGAAAAACAGAGTTCAGAATGACAGGCAAGCGTGACAGTTATAGGTAGGATAGGGATGGGAGACCAGACTTTTAAGCAGGGTGCTGGAAAATAGCTGATACAACCAGTGATATAAAAGACTATCAAGCCACAAGCTGCTTTAGGATGATAAGCCCTTTATAGACCTTAAAAATCTGACACTTTAGATCTTGAAACTAGTTTCTTCAAAAGGGGGAAAAGGTAGTGACTTGGTTAGGTGTTCAATATTAAATCTTACTGAATTTGTCTTTATAGAGAAATTTCATAGATGGAACAGGCCTTACCCATTTTATACATACACACGTGTACCACCTTTGCAGTGGCAATACACCATATTGTACACTATACACTATAAACATAGCACATTTATAAAGTAGTTAATAGTAAGGAGAGGGCCTGGTGCACTGGGAAGACCCAGAGGGATCGGGTGGAGAGGGAGGTGGGAGGGGGGACCGGGATGGGGAACACATGTAAATCCATGGCTAATTCATTTCAATGTATGACAAAACCCACTGCAATGATGTAAAGTAATTAGCCTCCAACTAATAAAAATAAATGAAAAAAAAATGTAAAAAAAAAATAGTAAGGAGAAGAAGTAGAGTTGAATATGTAAACCTGTCCCTCTACATATGTCCAATAAATCTACCATACCATACTTTCCCTGTTATTCACTGTATCACAGTTAAAACAGGAAGTGTTTAAGAAGGTCCCACTGACAAAGGCTTTTGGCACAGGGAATATGGTGAATTTGGGGGTAGTTTAAACACAATATGTTTCAGAGAATTTTGTGATTATAGATAGTAATACATTTCATTTGAAAGCTAAGACCTGTGCTGTTTATTTTACAATGTGAAACCAGTAGAGCTTCAGGATACAACCTCTGTGATGCTATTTCATATTTATTCATTCTTACACGTTCTCGAGTGCAGTTTTTAAGGAAGAAAGTTTGTAGATTAATAGCATGTATTGGGGGAAAGTAGCCATAAAAATCAATGTAATAAGTGGCCAGGCAAAGGCCTCAGTATTACGCATATGCTAAATGGCTAAGGTATGATATACGAGATTATGACATTAAACTATTACATTTCTTTGTTTCATTGAAATAATAATTTTTGTGAAGAATATACAGGCCTGATCTTCAGCTTTGCTTTTTGGCCCGTGGACATTTAAATACTTTGGAAGGCAGTAGCCAGAAAATAGCTAGGAAGGTAATTATGCTTTTAGAAATAACTTAGAATTCTCCTGTTTATCCAGTGATAAATATCTCTTATAGCAGCTCAAATACCTAGTTAGGAGAAGGAAATTTCCTGGGGAAACAGGTAACTTAAAACTTTCTTATTTAGGAAAAAAAACAATACCCTCCCCCAATATATCAGAGGGCATGCTATAACTGCCATTTCAAGAACACTCACTCATCAACGAACTTATATATAGAAACAAAAGCACTATTAAAATGTTTAAGAGCCAGGTTAACTTCAACACATAAATCATACTATTGGAAAGCCAATCTCTGAGACCATTGTTTCCAGGGAAAGTAGTATGAAGATCATAGATTTGATAAGCTTCAGTAAGCATCAATACACAGTCCACGTCACTTGCTTTAGTTTGTTCGGGCCTACTAATTGCTCCAAGACTTCTCGTGAATGATCTACAAAAGAAAATAATGACAATATATTAATTCACAGTAATCAAAGATATTGAATGTATCTTCATGTATAAACTGGGGATGATGACTATTATACTTCATAGGGTTAAAAGACTTAGATGATACACAAAGCATAGTAGAAACTAAAAATACATTTATTGGTAGCCATCACTATTATTGGATTTCTCTGCTGGTAGTTCAGATGGTAAAGAATATGGCTGCAATGTAGGAGACCTGGGTTTGATCCCTGGGCTGGGAAGATCTCCTAGAGGAGGACATGGCAATCCACTCCAGTATTCTTGCCTGAAAGATTCCATGGACAGAGGAGCCTGGTGGGTTACAGTCCATGGGGTTGCAAAGAGTCAGACATGACTGAGAGACTAACACAGCTGCAGTAAACATAGTAATACTTTGAAAAAACAGGCATTTCTTGTTTTATCAGTAATCTCATCTTTTTTTTTGTTTTTTGGCTGTGCTGAGTCTTCACTGTTGCTCAGAGGCTTTCTCTCATTGTGGTGAGTGGGGGCTACTCTTCTTTGCAGTGAGTGAGCTTCTTGTGGTAGCTTCTCTCGTATAGCACATGCTCTAGGCACAAGGGCTCAGTAGTTGCCGCTCACAGGGTCTATCTAGAGCATGGGCTCAGTAGTTGTGGTACACGGGCTTAGTTGCTCTGCAGCATCTGGGATCTTCCCTGACCAGGGTTCAAACCAAGTCCCCTGCTTTGGCAGCTGGATTCCTATCCACTAGAACACCAGGGAAGTCCTGTAATTTTATCTTAACTACACCAAACAGGGAGTAACAGGGTTAAACTTTCTCAGGGTCCTGCCAGGAATTAGATGACACACTACAGTAGCATGTTTGAACAGCAGTTAATGAAGTGACTATTCACAAAGGAGTGATTAAAGAAAGCATGATTAAAGAAAGCCAGCAGGTATGGTAAAACACCTCGGGAAGCTGCAACATGCTGAAAAAAGTTAGGGGAGAGAGTAGTTACTAGAACAGGACAACTTAACCAATTGTTGAACATGTTCCATGTCATATACTTACAAAACATGATTTTAAATAGATAACTATTATATGAATTCCTTGTAATTTAACCAATGTATATGACTAGACATTTAGATGGTTTTCAGTTATTCACAATACATAGCAGTGATTTTAACATGGTTTATGTTTACAAAGTCAGTTTTATAATGTCTTCTAATGCAAAAATACTGTTAAAATTTTATTACTTTAAAAATTATTCAGGATAAATTCGGGAGAGGATATGGAGAAAAAGGAACCCTCTTACACTGTTGGTAGGAATGCAAACTAGTTCAGCCACTATGGAGAATAGTGTGGAGATTCCTTAAAAAACTGGAAATAGAACTGCCATATGACCCAGCAATCCCACAGCTGGGCACACACAACTAGGAAATCAGAATTGAGAGACACGCTGGGGTCTCCCCAAGAGAACATTGGCATCAATCTTCATTGTACTACTGTTTACAATAGCTAGAACATGGAAGCCACCTAGATGTCCGTCGGCAGACGAATGGATAAGAAAGCCGTGGTATATATACACAATGGACTATTACTCAGCTATTAAAAAGAACGCATTTGAATCAGTTCTAATGAGATGGATGAAACTGGAGCCTATTATACAATGAAGTAAGTCAGAAAGGAAAACACCAATACAGTATATTAACTCATATATATGGACTTTAGAAAGATGATAATGATGACCCTATATGCGAGACAGCAAAAGAGACACAGATATAAAGAACAAACTTTTGGACTCTGTGGGAGAAGGCAAGGGTGTGATAATTTGAGAGAATAGCATTGAAACATGTATATTACCATATGTGAACTAGATGACCAGTTCAAGTTCGATGCATGGAACAGGGCACTCAAAGCCAGTGCACTGGGACAACCCTGAGGGATGGGTTGGGGAGGGAGGTGGGAGGGAGGTTCAGTATGGGGGACACATGTACACCCATGGCTGATTCATGTCCATGTATGGCAGAAACCACTATAATATTGTAAAGTAATTAGCCTCCAATTAAAATAAATTAATTAAAAAATTTACTCAGGAGTTTCAGCCATAAAAAGGAATGAATTTGGTCAGTTCTAGTGAGGTCGATGAACCTAGAGTCCACAAGTAAGTCAGAAAAACAAATATTGTATATTATCACATATATATGGAATCTAGAAAAATGATACTGGTGACCTTTGCAGGGCAGCAATAGAGACACAGACATAGAGAATAAACTTGTGGACACAGTGGGGGAAGGAGAAGGTGGGGCAAATTCAGAGAGTAGCATTGAAACATACATTGCCATATGTAAAATAGATAGCCAGTGGGAATTTGCTGTATGACATAGGTAGCACAAGCAGTGCTCTGTGACAACCCAGCGGAGTGGGATAGGGTGGGAGGTGTGAGGAAGGTTTAAGAGGGAGGGGACATATGTATACCTATGACTGGTTGATTGGATGTTTGGCAGAAACCAACAAAATATTGTAAAGCAATTAACAATCTATGTTTTATGTATAACATATCTCTAACCTAGTCTTAGTGGGTTTCAGACTTAAAGAGACTATGCTAAAGCCTTTGACTGTGTGGATCACAGCAAGCTGTGAAAAATTCTTAAAGAGATGGGAATACCAGACCACCTTACCTGCCTCCTGGGAAACCTGTATGTGGGTCAAGAAGCAGCAGTTAGAACCAGACATGGACTGGTTCAAAATTGGTAAAGGAGTACATCAAGGCTGTATACTGTCACCATGTTTATTTAATTTATATGCAGAGTACATCATGTGAAATGCTGGGCTGGATGAAGCACAAGCTGGAATCAAGACTGCCGGGAGAAATATCAATAACCTCAGATATGCAGATGACACCACCTTAATGGCAGAAAGCAAAGAGGAACTAAAGAGCCTCTTGATGAAGGTGAAAGAAGAGAGTGAAAAAGCTGGATTGAAACTTAACATTGAAAAAACTAAGACCATGGCATCTGGTCCCAACACTTCATGGCAAACAGAAGGGGGAAAAATGGAAACAGTGGCTGACTTTATTTTTTTGGGCCCCAAAAATCACTGCAGATGGTGACTACAGCCATGAAATGAAAAGACACTTGCTCCTTGGAAGAAAAGCTATGACAAACCTAGACAGCATATTAAAAAGCGGAGACATCACTTTGCTGACAAAGGTCCGTATAGTCAAAGCTATGGTTTTTCCAGTAGTCACGTATGGATGTGAGAGTTGGATCATAAAGAAGGCTGAGTGCCAAAGAATTGGTGCTTTTGAATTATGGTGCTGGAGATTACTCATGAGAGTCCCTTGGACTGCAAGGAGATCAAACTAGTCAATCCTAAAGGGAAGCAACCCTGAATATTCATTGGAAGGACGCATGCTGAAGCTGAAGCCCCAATACTTTGGTCATTTGATGCAAAGAACCGACTCACTGGAAAAGACCTTGATGCTGGGAAAGACTGAGGGCAGGAGAAAAAGGGGGCAACAGAGGATGAGATGGCTGGATGGCATCACCGACTCAGTGGACATGAGTTTGAGCAAATTCTGGGAGATAGTGAAGGACAGGGAAGACTGGCATGCTGCAGTCCATGGGGTAGCTGAGTCAGACATGACTAAACAACAGCAACAACAAGGCAAAAAAGAGGGCCCAACATATGGTTACTATATCTTATTTTAAGTAAAACAAAAATAACTCAAACATTAAGATTTAGTACAAGAAAGAGAACCATAGAGTGTTTGGAAACAAGAAATTATAGTTGTGAAATCAAGGTTTACATTGGCAGCTAATTTTGTTAAGTGCCTAAAAATATAACAAATGGAGTTTTCATTGTTTTAAAAGTATCATTAGTTATTACAGAAGAAGTCTATTATTACAGGAAATCTAGATTAATGGCAGATTTCAAATATGTTGAAAGTAAAAGGATGGATAAAGACAGCAACTATAACAAAACTATGTATAGAAGTTTATACCTCAACTATAATAGGAGAGGGAGGAACACTTTCCAGTTTATTCTAGGAGGACAGTATTATCTTCACACAAAAGCCAGACAAAGACATTACACACACAGAGAAAAAGAACAACAGGTCAATATTTCCTATGAATATGTATTCAAAGATCCTCAATAAGACAAGAGCAAACCAAATCCAGCAACACAGAAAAAGGATTATAGGACATGATCAGCTGGGATTTATCTTAGGAATGTAAGCTTAGCTTAACGTTTGGGAATTAATTAATGTAGTACACTATTTTCCCCTTCATGGACAGTCTTGTTGTGGTGACAGGACACATTAATTGTCACATTAAAAAATCGGATTATAATGGCAAATTCATAAAGACAGAAGATAGAGGTTGCCAGAGGCTGGGGGAAAGGATAAAGGGGAGTTATTTTTTAAAGGGTAAAGAGTTTCTATTTGGGATGATAAAAAAGTTCCGGGGATAGTTAATGGTGATGGCTGCACAACGATGTGAATGTACTTAAATCCACTGAATTGTACCCTAAAAATGTTTAAAATAGTAAATTTTATGTATATTTGCCAATAACAATTTTTTTTAACAATTCTGAAAGTAAGATTCACCTAATAATTGATATGTATACCTATGGTAGTAGTTTTCTTTTCTATTGAAAAGTTGATATTATGTTGGTGTACATGTTATTATAATTAATCATGTCTTAAAGGAAACTTGAATATATTGAAAATTCTTGAAAACTGAGGAGAAAACATCATATATTTTACATTGGAAAAGGCACCCTATGATATGAATTCGCAAGGTGACAGACAATGAACCCCTTCATGGATCACAGCCTTGTTGTGGGGTGGGGGCTTGCATAACTCATTGAATCTATGAGCCATGCCATGCAGGGCCACCCAACAGACAGGTCATACTGAAGAGTTCTGACAAAACGTGGTCCATAGGAGGAGGGGTTGGCAACACACTCCAATATTCTTGCCTGGAGAACCCGATGGACAATATGAAAAGGCAAAAAGATAT